ACAGACCAGCAAGGCCAGAGCAGGGCCGGCCCAAGCTCACCCATGGCCTGGGCTGCTGAGTGACCTTAGGGAAGCCTTGCTCGTCTGCCCATGTCCCTCAGGGGCAGCCTGACCCCGGCCACCCTTCCAGCCCCTCAGCCCAAACTCAGCAGCCACCACCTCCCAAAGCCCTAGGGCCTCCGACGAGCCAGGTCGGGGGAAGGCCCTAGAACCTGCATTTTAACCCCCTCCCCAGTCATCTGGCTATAAGCACAGCCTCTGAGTCTGAGACCCCAAGTCATCCGCTCCCCAAAGCGCCAAGTGCCTGGCCTGTCAGCTCTTGTCACTCACCCTGCTGACCCTCAGGACTCAGCCCCCACCCTAGGTGCCAAGGGGGCGGGTGGGAGGATGCAGATTCCGGCTCCGAGGCCCCTCCCAGCTCCAGGAGCCCAGGCAGGCCTGGGCAGGACCACACGGGCTGAGCCATCAGCAGATCTCTCGCTGGATCCCAGAGCTGCCCCGCCCTGTGCCCCACGGCCCCGTGGGTGGGGTTCAGCTGGCTGCGGCACCTGCACCCCACAAGCAGGTTGGAGCAGGCCCGCACAGCTGAGGAACCTAGCCTGGGGTTCCAGGGCAGTGAGGGGTCAGGCCCAGCCCTGGGGACGTGGTGGTGGGACGTCTGCACCCAGGCCAGGATCAGCGAGGCCACTGCAGGCTGGGGGCTCTGGGGACCGCTGAGGGCAGTAGGCCCCGCACCGGGACACAAGAAGCCAGGAGCGGCCTGGGGTGGGGGGACAGTAAGGGAGGGCGCCTGGCCACTCAGAGGGACCCCAGGTAGGGAGGAGGCTCTGGCTAGCCCAGGCCAGTGGGCACTCTTGGCCCAGCGCGGGTGAGAGGCCCCAGGGTGGGTCCCCAGTCCAGGAAGGAGGGACAGTACCCAGGCCTCTCCCAGCCTCCCCGTCTCTAAAAATTTAACGGTCACAAGCGAGTCTATTTACCGTGAGACAGGAAAGCTGGCCAGGCCTGCCGGCCAGGGACCTCACCCACTCCCACAGCCCCAGATGGTTCTCACCTGGGAACTCTGTTTACTGCCTGACACCCCACAGGTCTGTCATCTCCCCCAGGGCAGGGCTGAGCCCAGCTGGAAGGGAGGCTGCTGCTGGTACCGAGCAGGCCACCCCCCTCCTTCCCTCCTGAGCCTGGGTGTCCCAAACCCGCAGAGCCTCGTCGCCAGCCCCGTCCTCCGGGACCCCGCTGCCCCCCAGCTCCCTTGCCCCTGGCCGTGTGGCCCTGGAAAACTACAGGAGCCTGGGCTGGGCCCCCAGCTCACACGGCCAGAGTGAGCTGTGGCCAGATCCACCCCCCACGCTGTGCGGCCTGCAGGCTGGGGCCTGTCCTCCGGCCCCACCCTCCCCCACACCCTGTGCTCTGCTCCCCGGCACACACAGACCCCCTCCAGGCTCTCGGCTGACTCTCCCCACGGGCAGCTAGCGCCCACAGCCCTCGGCAAGCGCTGTGGACTTGCGGCTCCCCTGCCGATGGGAGATGGGGGCGAGCAGGGCCTGCAGATGTGCAGGCCACAGCCGGGAGCCCTGGGCTGGCAGAGTCAGGCCGGAGGCACAGGGCTGTGGGTCCAGGCCACTGTGAGCTCGTAGGGGCAAGAGTCAGGGGGCCGCCCTTCATACCTTGCCCCTGAGCTGGTGTCCGGTCCCACGGGGGTCATACCCGGCTCTCCAGCACAGAAGGGCCCCTGTGCAAGGCCCTGCCCACTTGCCTCAGCTCCCAAGGACCCCATGCGGCCAGGCAGGTGCTGGGCCAGCTGATGGGTGTCTGCTGACCCGCCACACCACAAGTCCCGAGACCCAGGCCGTCCAGCACGTGTCCGCCGATGCCCACTGCCCAGGCAGTTGCAGCTCAAAGCCAGGGGCACCCCGGGCTCCTGCTCAGAGTCCGCACGGGAACTCAGCTGCCGGCAGGGGCTGGGCAGGGCCAGGGGCAGCTGATAGTGAATCAGCTGGGGAGGCGGCCAGGGCCAAGCTTGGTGTTCTCAGGAGATGTGTCACAGAGGAACCCTTGGGGGCTGGAGCCGCCCAGGAGTAAGGCCGGCCAGAGAGGGAGCTGCCCCTCGAGCGGTCCCACAGCCAAGTGCCCTGTGGGAGGCCATCCTCGTCCCCACCCTGGGAGGGGTCCAGCAGGGCTGGCAGCTCTCGGGACACGCGGGCCTCAGTGGGAGACAGAGGTGCGGGGGTGCGGGCAGCCCCTGGTCTGACCCCCACTCAGGGCAGAGGGGCTGGAGCCCCAAACAAAGGGGGCATGACCTGGCCAGATGGGGCTGAGCCCCCGGGCTGTCCCCTGCTGCTCCTTTCAGAGCCTCGACTCTCCTCTTGGCACTGGACACCCGCATCCGGTGCCATGTCCAGGCCAGAGTGCCGCTTGTGGGCCCCTCTCAGGATTCCTGCCGCAGACCCCAGCAGGGTCCAGGAGGCCGCCAGGCGGCCTCAGCCGGTGGCCCGGAGCCCGCTGTCCGCCGACACGCCCGTCAGTCACCGGGTCCCTGCCGGAACCTCTCTGGCCCCGTGGCGCCATGCCACCCCCACCCTCTCACACACACTGGGGTCACCGCAGGGCAGGAAGCGGGGTGGGAACCCAGGGCCACCACGTGCCGCCCCCGGCCCCAGCCCTTCAGGCCTTTGCATTTGAGAAAGTGCCTCAAAGTATTAAATATTTACCCCAGCAAGGCGGACCCTTGGCTCCCAGCCGCCTGCCGCTTCCAAAAAAAGACAAACAGAGGGAAGCCTGGCGGTAGAAGCAGCAGCTGGGCGGGCGCAGGCTCACCGGGAGCTGCGCCCAGACTCTCAGCAGAAAGCGCCCCTGACCTTCGAGGGGGCTGGGGGGCATGTCAGGGAGGTCAGGGTCACACAGCCAGGTCTCACCATGCATCCAGCTAAGCACCCCCACCCCAGCTCTCCCCACTTCCCCGCCCAGTCCTCTGCCCCCCTCCATTTCCTCCTCCTCCTGCCTGGCTTCATCCCTTCCCACGCAGACTGCCAGGAACCCGTGTGGGGCTCCCAGTGCCCTTGGAACAAACCCCCCTCCTAACAGCAGGCCCCTGCTTCTCTACCCTTCACCCCTACATGTATCCCCAGACCCACCCTGTTAATCTACTTGTCCCCCAGCCAAAGCTCTCTCCAGGCCTCTTGCACTCCTGCGCTCTCCCTACCACATGCACCTTCCTCCAGGAAGCCCTCCCTGACTCCTCTGTACACCCAAGGCTGGGCTAATGGCAGAAGCTGTGCCTGACTCACCTTAGCCAGATAGACAATGGTACAGTGTTCCCCGCTGTGTGACCTCCCACGGCCCAGGGCCCCCGACAGAGCCCTGAGTGTAGGATCTGCCTCCTCCGGCTGGGGAGATCTGGGTTTCCATGCCTTGAGTGAATGGCAGGGGCCCCCAGATGGCTAGTGCCCTGCCCCACCGGCCTGGGTCCTTCCCCCTGACACCTCCACTTCCTCACCCCCAGGCAGGCCAGCCCCAGGCTCAACCTGAAACAAGAAGCCTTCAGCCAAGGGCAGCCATGGAAGAAGGGATACAGAGAGGGTGGGAGTCTGAAGGTGAGAGAGAGCTGGGCCCAGCAATCCACGGGGCTTCCTGGAAGAGGCAGCTCCTAGCCAAGTCAAGGATGGAAGAGCTCAGCCGGAGAGAGAGAAGGCCATGAGGGCATTCCTTCCACAGGCCCAGCCACGATGAGCCCCAGCGGAGTGGGGCTTATACCACCTCTGGCGCACGGGGGCGGCAGGGCCTTTGGGGCGCTGGACACCGCCCCCTTCCCCCCTCCGAGACCTTGGGGCAGGAGCAGACTGTCCAGCTTCAGTTCTCCCACAGGGAAAAGAACGAGGCTGCTGTCAGGAATACATCTGCCACCGAGAGGGGGTTGGAGAATCTGCCTCATTTAGCTTAGGGAGGGCCCGTACCCCCACCCAGGATGGCCTCCGTGGCCTCCTCCTTGCTGCCCGCTCCTGCCGCGGACACTGTGGGCTGCAGGGAGCGCACCAGAGCTCTCCCTGGTGGGGTAAGGCAGCACCCGCCGACTTCACAGCACTGAGTGGGTGGAGGCCAGAGAGGCCCCGCGCTGCTGCAGGGCTCTGCCTCCCGCTCCAAGCGTCAGTGTCCCCTTCTGCAAAATGGGGACACAGCCCTCTCCCGGTGTGGACAACCCGGGGAAAGCTACCGGTGTAGACGGTGTGGGGACACTTGCCACGTGCACGGGCCCGTGGCCTCCCTGACCACACAGCTCTAGCTCTCTGCTCCACCTCTGCTGTGGGCAGCCGTGGTCACTTCTGTTCACGGACACAGTTCCAGCCCGCAGACCCTTGCAGCTCCAAGCCCAGGGCCATGCGAGGCCACCAGCCCTGCTCAAAAGAGGGAAGCCACCACAGGGATGCCCCCCACCGCAATGCTCTTGGGAAGGGCCCGAGTTACCATGGCCCCCCACAAGAAGAGACCACCCAAATCCTCCCTTATGGTGGGGCCTCCCAGGACCCAGTGGGCGCTTCTCAGAGTGGGGATGGGAGGGGGGCTCAGGCTAAGCCAGGGGCTTCGGGTGCAGGGCAGGGGCCCAGGGCAGGAGTAGGGGGCTCCCTGTCAGTCCAGCTGCGCAGGACCCAGCTCTGCCTTGGGAAGAAACTGGCTGCCTCTTGGGAAGGAAGCGGTGTGACGGCTGGTACCCATCACACAGTGAAGTGGGGGCAGTGCGCCCAGGTGGAGCTCCCTTCCCTCGCCTGCAGGGGCCTGGAAGGAGTTGGGGGCGAGCTGCTCGATGGCCAAGGTGCCCTGAGGCTGGGCGGATCCCCCCACGGGTGTCTTCTGGGCGCAGCCACCAGGGGGCAGCCTCCCAGTGCAGGCTGGACAGGAGATGGCTTCCTCCCCCAGCTGAGGGGAGAAGTGCACCCAAGCTCTGGGAGGGGTCTTCAAAGGACCTAGCATGGCTGGCCCAGGAGGACAGGTTTGGACTGGGCGGAACGATGAGGGTGCGGCAAGGCCTGCCCATCTCTGGTCTTCAAGGAGGGAACCGCAGCTGGGAGGACCAGGACCAAACCCCCCAGGGGCCTTATCGGGAATGCATGTTCCTTAGCCTCGGTGAAGGGTGGGGGAGGGCCTGGGAATCTGACCCAGCCCCCAGGGGCTCTGATCCAGCAGGTCTCCTCTCAATGCCCCATGAGAACCGCTGACATTCCCTAACAGCTGATGGTTTCGTAGACAGGACCTGAGGAGGGATGGCCCTGAGGCCAGTCCCAAGTCAAAGCAGAGAATAAGGGTCTCAGCTGCGGAGGGGCCTTTTTGAGGCAGCAGGGTGGATGAGATGGCTTTGGACCCTGCAACTTGGGAGTCTCTGGGTAACCTGTGAGTAAGGGTATAGGCCAGTGCTGGAGACAGCCCCGTGTCCTTCTGCCCCCTCTCCTTTCCCTGTGATGCAGCAGATCCCCAGGGATGTGGGCCACGGCCAGCCTCGGTCAGGAGGAGGGGGCTGGAGGCCCACCACAGCCATCATTCTCCCGAGCTTGTCCACGGAAAATCCCTTGGACAAGGGAGGGCCAAACGGGGGGCCAGCGGGGCCTTGGTGTTCACCAGAAAACTGGGCAACAGAAGGGACCCTGGGGGCTCCTGCTGCAGCTGGAGGGGCTGCCCAGGCCAAGGGGCACCCCTCCCCGCTCTGCATCAGCAGCACCATCATCATCTTCTACCCCAGTTTCCCAAGGAGTGGGGTCCAGTCTGCAGCAAGGCCCAACCCCCCTTGCTGGCAACTGGCCAGATGCCCTGGGTGTGGCTGCCGCATCGCTGACCCACTCCTGCCCCTGCCTCACCCCACCCTGCCCCCCAAGACGCTGAGACACCCAGGCTCTGGAACCAGACCTCATGCAAGGACAGACAGATAACAAAGCAGCTGGTTCCCATTCTGCAGCCAGAGGCGTGGGGAGGGGGTAGTGCCCCATGGGCAACGCCCACCTTCGCCTTCCCTTGCCCAGCACTGGGTACTCCGTGGCCTGAGCTCTGACCGCACTCGGGCCCCTCACCAAGCCCCAGACCTCAGGTCTAGCCCCACCACCTACCCGGTGACCCAGCCACACAGTAGCCACACTGTGGACCCAGCCCAGCCCAGCCTGGGACTCAGGACCAAGGCCAATAGCCCTAAGTCCTGTTCCAGCCAGGCCGCTCTCCCCCAAAGCGGGATAGAGGGTGAGCCTGGCAGCAGGTCCCCATGCCTGTGACCCACGGCCCTCACGCCCCACTCACGCCCCACTCACACGTGCGGCCCTCCCCAGGCGGCCGCCTCTAGGGACAAGACGACATCCCAGAGGGCTAGAGCAGGGGACAGTGACAGAGAGGGAAAGACAGGCAGGGGTAGTGAGTGACAGAGGTGGGGAGCGAGAGTGAGTGGTAGAGATGAGTCAGCGACCCAGAGAGACAAAGTGAGCGGCAGAGACGGAGAGAGGCAGAGCCAGGTAAAAGGCGAGATGCAGCAGGAGGGAAGGCAGCCCCGAGCAGCCCCGAGGCGCAGAAACGCGCGCGAGACCCCGGGCCGGTCCCCGAGGCGCCCCACCCCGGTCCGCACTGCGCACCCCGACGCGCCCGGCGCGCGTCCCCGCGCAGAGCCCACCCTCCCGAGGGGAGCGGGCTGCAGGCGGAGAGGAGGCGCACCGCTGCCGGGGGCTCCGGGCCAGGTGGGCAGCACCATGTGGAAACAGTCGCACATCGCGGCGGCGGG